ATTAAAGCTCAGATGTATCACTGAAATCATGTGTCAAAAATGCATCGTAAATATCAAAAATGGCGCCTATTTGCTTCATATTCAACTGTTGATATCTTCGCACAGGCCAGAGGTGGGATGGGGTGGGATAAAAGTTTCGAGATTTTTGGACTTCTATCTTCGCAATCAACGTGATTCTATTCATGACTTGTGTCTTCAATGGTCTTTTCTAAGACGTCTTTTGTATGGCCTTCATTGTCTTCGCGATCGTTAAGCTATTCAAATGTTGATTGTTTGAATTTTAATTGCGGCAGTAATAATCGCTTACCTGTTCTGACTTTTCATCACGACATAGTAGAGGTGTTGTTCCGTTTCATTTGATCTTTTGATTTGATGTGGAATCAAATCTTTATCGTTTTTTTTTAGAAGTTTTAAACTCTTGTTCTGTCTCGAAGTGAAATTGCGCCTCTCAAATATTGAACCTTGTGATTGGTTTAAAACGTCACGTGACTAATGCTCAACCTCCTCTGTTGTTGGATTAAGCATCTGAAAACGTGTTACTAACAAAGTAGTTTGAAAGCATAACCAACCCCCCAAAAAATGTTTAATGATAAATATTATAATTTCCTGTGTATATACAGTGGTTGTAGCTAGCCTCATTAGCGGGTAACTCTATTCCATGGGATTCCTGTGTTAAGGCAGAAAATTTACCAGAGGGGGGAGGGGTTAGGAAGGAAGGAAAGGCAGCTGGTAGAGTTGTTCCTGTTCTCTTAGCACAAGTTTTTGGTCAGGATAAATCAACATGGAGAGAAAAAATCAATTTCATTAGGAGTAGCATATGCAAAGGAAGCTAGTTTGTAGCTTGACTGTTTCTTTTTACTCCATAAAAAAACATGAAATATTATTTTACAGACAAGAATCCCAAAGGTCCAGATAACAGAAAGTTTTATATTGATACAAACATGATGACAGTACCAAGAGAGGGTGTAGAGATACAGACACCCATTAAAGATGGCATGAGTGAGTTTGATTAGATTTTAATTCGTGACATTCCATTCTCAAATATGTTGAATAGCGCATGTACAGTGTACAGTACATGTATGTAAATAGTCTAAAAACCTGACCATAGAGAATTCCAGTGGATCATGGCCATTTCAAAGTGCATGTTGATTATCATTATCATCATAATCGTAATCATTATTGAATTGCATTCACAAGAATCATAAAAAGTTCTTTAAAATCTATTTTTTTTCTAATTCTACTTCTAGTTGAAGATTGGGACTTGTTTGAAAAGTTCATTGACTTTATATACAAGAAAGAGTTCAAGTCTGATTCTTCACTACATCCACTGTTGATGTCAGAAGCATCCGTAAGTAATACTAGAGATATCTATGAAATGGTTCCCTTGTTCTATAGGGGAAAGGAAGTTCTAGCCGTTTTTTCCCTTCAAAATTGAAATAAAATTTTACAAATTGCAAACTGACACCACATTTGTTATACATGTTTTCACGACTTTCAAAAACGATATGTCACAGTCACCTACCAGGGCACTGGGCAAACACTAAAACGAGGTCTCAAAGGTCCGTATAGTAAACTTTGATGGTGTCTTGCGAGAGTGTTTTGTTATAAATAACATACCAATACATCTTTCAAACTTTTGGACACTACACACATCTTCGCGATCTTCGTAGTGATTTTTAGATGGAAAACCTTTGAGGTCTTTTTTTTATGATTCGTCACTAGTCCCCGATATTGGCGGTTGTTCACAACCGCCATTTTTGAAAGTCATGTTTGTTATACCTGGATCAAAGGTATGACGGACAGACAATTAAATGACTTGGCTAGCTTTTTTCTGTTGATGTCTGATTCTTGTATGTTTGTTTTAGTGGAACGTCCGAGCCAAACGCGAAAAACTGACAGAGCTTATGTTCGAAACATACAATGTACCTGCATTTTTTGTGTGTAAAAATGCAGTTTTAACAGCATTTGCTAATGGAAGGTAAGCATAACATGTTTGGCTAATGTCGCAATGGTACAGTTAATGTCTAAGGTCTAATGGACTATTAGTATAAACATACTAATGGTCTATCACTCATACTGCGCTGTGATTGGCTACTCTACTAATGGTCTAATTTGTGATAGACCACTCACGGGAAAATCAAAATAATTAAATTATAAATTATAAATTATTTTAAGGATATTTCAATTTGTTTTCATTATTTGACCGATTAGTATGTTTATACTAAAACAATTAGACTTGGCCTCATGGGCTATTTGCTCGTAGTCCACTCGACCTTGAGGTCTAATTGTTAAATAGTTCATAAATTATTAATGAGTCTTTTAAAAATCACTGATTATTAAGGGATATTATTTCCAGGTCAAACGGTTTGGT